TAGTAGTTGTTGTTGTTGTACTAGTACTAGTAGTACTAGTACTAGTAGTAGTAGTAGTAGTAGTAGTAGTAGTAGTAGTAGTAGTGGCAGCTAGTGTTGTTCATGCCGTTGTTGATTACTAACTACTTCTAAAATACTGTGCTGACACAACGACCCCTCCCTAAACCCTAAGCCCTACACCCTAAAGACCTAAACCCTAAACCCCAAAGGCCTAAACCCTAAACCCTAAACCCCAAAGGCCTAAACTCTAAACCCTAAACCCCAAAGGCCTCAGCCCTAAACTTTTAAACCCCAAAGGCCTAAACCCTAAACGCTAAAGCCTAAACCGAGCCAAGGAGCAACCGCAAGGCCGTCTCGCATCCCTGAGCTGGTATAGGGTTCTTTTAAGGCTTCCTGCGGGGGCGTGGGTTCCTTCAAAGGGTACTATAGAGCTTTGGGTTCCTTAGGGTTTAGGGCAGGGTTTGGTGTTTAGGGTGTTTGGTTTCCTTTAAGGCTTCCGTTGAGGGCGTGCGGGTTCCTAGGGTTCTTTTAAAGGGTACTATAGGGCTTAGCGTTACTGTAAGACGTCGGTGGCACCCCTGAGCTTGCACGATATTGGGGCGTAGGTATTTTCTGGCTTCGGCTTTCGGGCTCGGTTGAAGGTCGAGACTCTCGGGTTGGGTTTTTGGAGCTGGTCGGCTAGGGTTTAGAACTCTTCGGGTAAAGGGTGGGCAAAAAGTCTTGAGGTTTGAAAATGAGGGTTTTAGCATAAGGGGGCTTCATTTGGACTTGGGTCATGATAGTATAATTAAAGAAAGGAGCCCCTCAGAAATGACATTGGCATTTATTTACTCAAGCCCTCTATGGCAGGGATGATTGAAGTTTCTGCACGCATTTCGTTAATGGGGCCTTCGGGGGTTCTGCAAGTTTTTTTACAAGGCTCTGCAAGGTTTTACTTGGATTTTACGAGGGCGCAGTGAGTCAAGGTTGAGGACTTGGGTGTGGCCCCAAGTACCCAAATACTTTAAGGCCAAAGTATCTGCTATTTGGGCACATGGATCCTGATCTACCCTAAATAAGCCTTAAAGTACCCGTTATAGAACGCTAATAGAAACCCCTATTTGGGCACATGTCAGGCCGGTGGGTGGGCAGATAAGTATTTGATATTGGAGCAGGGGTGCTTGACTGGAGAATGCTCGAACTTTTAAAACCCTCATATCAAGGCTCTTCCCGCCCCGAAACTCCGATCTCTCTTAATGAAAAGCCAAAGCGGCGGTGGCGTTGCTGGGCAGCCGGGCAAGGTTACCTCGAATTCTGGAAGCATGCTAGCCTTCTTCAAGGCCAGTCGCTGTGGTTCTCTTCGGCTGATCGGGAGTACTTGACTTAAACGGCTCATGATGGGACTTAGCATGCGGGGTTTACAAATTTGGTTATCATGTGGTTTATTTTGCATTCTATATTTATTTAACTGGCTATTCATTATCTATTTATCAGTTCTTGAAGTTCTTGATTCGTGTATTGATGTGTTTATGTATGTGTTTATTTATGCAACTATGTATTTACTGATGTATTGGTTTATTATCTATTTACGTCTTCATCGACTTATTTGTGGTTATTTTATGTTTAGCGGGGGGTTCTTGTAGGGCGTTTAAGTCTGCTTGAAGGCTCGTGGGACTTGGTAAGCATGCCCATGGGAACCCTCTTAATTAAGCAGCGGTAGGGTTATACTAAGTCATTATACGCCTAGTTACCCAGATTATAACCTTAAGGGACTAATGCTACTAAATGTTCACACCCCAGCCGCTCTAGCCTAAGCAGGCCAAGCAAGGGCGGCCCCACAAATGCCAAAGTCGCACGGTGCTCCCCATCAGGAGCTGCCAGGGATTAGAGTTTAAGGTTTAGGGCTTGTGGGCTTTGAACTCTAAACCCTAAACCCTAAACCCTAACCACCGCGTCGAGGACACATACGGCATTACATGTAGTACACAACCCGGTTCGAAAAAACAAGCATAGGTGTACCGGTGACTGAAATCGAGAAAGGACTATGAACTCTGACACCTCCAAACCCACAAGAAACGTTAAACAATACTTAAAGATTTTAACCTAGCCTTCTTTGAATAAGCCAACAAGTCCAACGATTAAAGCCTCGCGATTCATGTCGCGGAAATCGATTTGAGAGTGTTGGAAGCGGATTGCAGTGTGCCAAATGCATGCCAGGACTATGCCAGGACTCCTTGTTGCCCCTTTAGGGTATAGGGTTTAGGGTTTAGGGTCCGTCTGGCCGCATTATCAGCGACGATGTGGATGGTTCGCTCCGACATTGGGCCCGGGGTAGCAGCACCATATATGGTCACCGAGGGTATATCCTTCTGCTGGTCTGAGAACAAGTCTCTGATGGACGTAGGCCTCACGATGTCTTCTAAGAGTTTGGATCCCAGAGCTTCCATACTCGTCCCATGACCACATACGTAATCGCATGTTGCTGTTAGGGGGTGTCCCGGGTGTGCCCGAAGGGCAATCTCTGCTCCCCGCGTGCCGTCCAAGATGTCAATCACCTGTGAGTTGAGTTCAACACATGCTTGCTCTCAGGGTTTAGGGTATTCGGGCTTAGGGTTTTGGGTGGGGA